AGTTTCATTTGCAGTCAGACCTGAATAGTAAAAACTGAATGTGAAAATAGATACTTTCTTGGTAAATAAAATAAGAGATTGATAAATGGTCTCCCTTAATTAATCTGCTGTTCACTAGCCCTCCACTAGATGGCCTCATTGGCTTAATCAGCTAATTTCTCAGTTTAATGTGCTTCTAACTCGTTGTTTGATGTGTTAATTTTTAAATGTAGTGCTCCATTATTCCTGCTGCCAAAGCTCTGCAGCAGATTAAAAAGAGAGATCAGATCTCTCTTATTTTCGCTTCCTTTTAGTGGCTTCTTGTTAAATCCATAATGGAATTTAAAATCCTCCTTCTCACATATAAAGCCCTAAATAACCATGCTCCATCTAGTACCAGAGATATGATTGGTCCTTATGTTGCTAAAAGAGAACTTCAGTCTCAATCTGCAGTTTTAATTGTGGTTCCCACAATTTTAGAAGTAGAATGGGAGGCAGGGGTCAGGGTTAGGGATATAAAAGTTCAAAATACGCGTATGCAAAAGACTGGGTCTGAAAAGCTCCTACAACGATTCATATGCAAAGACTGTCCTTTACAAAACAAAGCAAACATAATGAAAATATGATCCATCTATACTAGTGTGCATATTTTGGAGAGAGGAGAAATTAGGTGACAGATGGTTCCTTATGGGAACTGAACCCAGATTACCGTATATGGTTATTCTTCTCAGACACTTTATTTATTTTTATTAAACTTTAAAGATTGACTCTATCAGATCTGAAACTGCAGTGTGATATATGCTGCGACTGACAGGCTCTTTCGCAAATAAAAAAAAAACTGTTTAAACTTAAAATCTAAATCTACAATTATTTAATGGATTCATCTTCCTCTCCCTCTCACCTCTCCCTAGTGATCAGTGGGGTGAGTCATACCACAGATTACCATATAAATGTACTTTCACCCGTAGAATGCTAGAGATAGGCATCAACCTCACTGAGACCCTGATGCATGGCTGGATGGCTGGATGGATGGATGGATGGATGGATGGATGGATGGATGGATGGATGGATGGATGGATGGATGGATGGATGGATGGACTTAATGCAGCTTTAAACAAACATCTACATCTTTTATTGATCTGGGGCTATTGCGAAAGAATTTATTTTAAGAATATTTTGGTTTTGCACAAATACATTTTATTATTTCATTTTTTTACTTTTAAAACTAAATTTTCAAAACCCTTTTCCTTCCCTGTTTTTTTTTTTTTTACAGCGAATCTCTGGATGGATTAAATGATGGGAGGGATCACTACATCCCTTTATGCCATAAACGAATGGAGTGATCCTAATGAGAAAGGGAGAAGGAGATGCTTATGGTGTTTTGTGACACAATTTTTGTCATTATTTTGATTGTAAATCATATTATTTCATTTTGACCATGTATTATTATCAAGGCGTGCTGTTAGCAGGGACACTTACTGGCAGGGGGCCCCAGGTGGTTGCCTACTTTTTCTAAATAGTGAGTCTGACACTCAGCCCACAATGCAACACTTCCTCCATATGTTTTTTGAGCTACACAGCCAACCCTTCAGCTAACTGAGGATTTTTCTGTTTTTTTTTTTATTGCTGTAAAAGAAAAAAGTTAAGAGGAGACAGCGGCTTAAGGGCGTATTAGCTGTTTGTTGTTACTTTCTGCAGAAACATTTAGAGAACAGTTTAGGAGAACATAGTGGTTTTATGTCTCTGTACTATCCTTGGCAAACTGCAGATCACACTTTGGTTAAAGTGGTTTTAGACTAACAGGCAAACGTCCTCTCTGCCTTTTCAAACCACTCAGTGTAAATTTTAATTAAACAGGAAGAACTATGTTTTCCTTTAAATGAACAGTTTTTTAACTGAAGTGTGCTGCATCAAAAAGTCAGGGTGTTTGTATTTGTTTTGAATGCTGCAGTAAAAATGCAGCTTTTTAGAATAGTGTCTAAAGGACGATAAGAAGTGAATTGTTAGACGCACAGTAAAAAGACAGGATGTACATGTTTGTAAGGTTTTATTTTTCAATCATACATTTGTGAAACAGAGCTCACAATAATGATATCTTGTAGATGCATTCTGTTTTTAATTTTAAAGCTGTTTTTCTTTTGAAAAAATGGGACAAAAATACATTAATAAAGGATACTTTTACTTTGAAGGGGCTTGTAAGTCTTAGAACTAAGAACCATGTGAGGGGAGGGGAGTCAAACTGAGCTCTGTAGCAGAGGAATAACATTATGTTTCAGGCTGTTATGGAGAGCCCATTAAGGATGTTTTTCTTTTCTATCTGTGAGTAAAAAACTGTTTCTGTTTAATGTTCTAGATCCACAGTAGCAATAATATAACAGTTGCTGTTAGATAAATGTCTAAAGTTTAAATCATTTTATACAGCAGTGGTATCAAACGTCATCAGACATGTTAGTTCTGATAAAAACTGATCAGTTTTCCTTTGGTTAAAGCTTTAAAGTGAACCTGTAATAAACAACATGGATACAGCACTATGGTTAAACTTTTTCTAAATAATACATCTCGTTAAAACCTGTTTTTATTTAGATCTGTCTGTGTCAGTGGTTGTTCTAGTGAATTTAGTGATAATCAGTCTCTATCTGTTGGTGTTTACAGTGATGATGAGATTATCTGCAGCTGAAGAAGTAAAGAAGAACCTGATCGGAACAATTGGTGGAAACCTCACTTTCCCAGATCCTCTGCTGGAGTTTGGATTTCTTTTAAAAGGAAGAATCATTGCTTCAATAAATGATGAAAAACTTCAGACTTTTGAGGAGATTTACATGAACAAACTTCACTGGAGCAAAAACTCTGGACTCTTTATGATCACAGACCTGCAGAGGAGCGACTCAGGAATTTATACCATTGACTCTAAAAAAGGAAGAGTTTTCTATACTTCCTATAATCTCACAGTTTATGGTGAGTGACAACATCTCAGTATAATAAGACCATAAATTAGACTTAATTTCATTTTTTGTCATTGTCACTTTTTTAAACAAGCTGTCCGGCGTTAGTACATATTAGATAGCAGAGTGCGGCAGGCAGAAACAGACGCTCTGTCTGAACATCCACCCAAACCCCTATACAGACCACTGTATTGTGGTTACACCATTTTTATATGAGTGTCTAAATGTCTAGATAATTAAAAGCAGTGTACTCAAAATTTCTCACAATCGACATTGAAAGGTAGCATACAACCATGGTCACTAGACAAGCAGATATATCTGAGAATGCTTTGAGAGACCTATCCTCACAAAGGATTACCGCAATTTGTGTAGGATGTGAGAGAGAACTAAGATGGTGCAGGCACTGTGGGGAGCTGGAGTCACGTGACCAACACGAGAGAAAAGAAGTGAGCTCAGAGTTAACTGAGCTCACATATAGTCTCTGCTCTCTATAGTGATGAGAGGTTAGATTGGGAAACAGCCTATGACAACAAAAACTAAGTGAATCTCATAATAAAGGTCAAAACAGCTTCACAAGATCCATTTTCTTCCACTTAGTCCTTGTCAGGGTCATGGCAGTCTACAGGCGAGAGGCTGGGTACAGCCTGGACAAGTCGTCAGTCTGTCACAAGGCAACACAGAGACACACACAGAGACAAAACAAGACAATTTAGAGAAGCCAGTTAACCTAACAGTTATGTTTTTGGATTGTGGGAGGAAGCTGGAGTACCTGGAGAGAACCCACACATGCATGGGGAGAACATGAATCAAACCCAGAACCCTCTGGCTGCATGACAGCTACCCACTGTACCTCATTGCAGCCCCCTTCATAACATAAGATTAAATAAAAGTAAATAATATTTACTACAGACTTCAGCATATATGGCTACTTTCACATAAAATACACAACTTTATCAGTAAATTTTCCCACGACTTTACCCGCAGCAGTGCACAACAGCATTGTGAAGGGGAGTGGAAGGGAGAAGCTATGAGGGCCAGAAAGACCCTACAGGAGCCCTGGAGGGACAAAAAAAGACAGAGTGCAGAAAGGAAATTCTCACGAGGAAAATCAATTAAATAATGCAAAATAACTAAATAAGATCACAAAAGCTTCATATAACATCATTTAAAAACAACAATTAATGAAGTGCATTTTTAACTGTTACACGTGCACATAAAAAAATTCCTTATTCTTATGATTGATTCCATATCTCCATGTATTTATTGCAGATGCTCCTCCGACTCCTGCAGTAGAAACTCTGACTGTGAGCTCTGAGATCTGCTGGTTGCTCTGTTCTGTGGACAATCTGACGTCTCTGCTTTGGTACAAAGACGAGGAGATACTGAACCAGAGCCGTTCTGCTGTCTCTTTACCCATCACTGTCTACAGAAATGACAGCAACTCATCTTATAGATGTGTAGCAGCCAACCCTGCAGGAAACAAGACTCTACATGTTAATGTGACGACATCCTGTTGGTTAAATGAGACAGAAAGTTCTGATCATCAAAGTCAATGTAAGCTTCAACTAACTGTGAAGAAAATAACTAATTTATCCAAAAAACTGTTCTTATTAGACGATTATGTTTTATGTGGTTTTATGTAGACTGGGCTCCACTGGTCTTCAGCAGCTTTATTCTGATCTTTACTCTGGTCGTCTGGATGATGATCAGGAAGGAAAACGCAACAAGACAAACATGCGGCAAGTATTGATCTAAAGTCATTATTACTTAAGCTCAGGTTAGTCAACATTATCTATCTTCCGACAGATAAACATTACTCCAGATATTAGAAAACATTAAACAGAATCTTTTGGTTATTTAGATGATATATTTAGTATATAGACACGATTAAAGAATGAGCTTTTTAATACTATCATTTGTTAGCTGGTTTTATTTCCAAATGTCAACTATGGCTGTTGCATAAATATATTTTTTGATAAATGCAGAAGCTTTTTATTGGTAGAAAATGGACAATATTCATAAAAACAAATATGGTAAGAAAAAAGAAATAAGTAATAAATCTATTGTAAAATTAATCCGAATCATATTTATGTCACCTGGAAAGGAGGTAACCTATGTCCTCATCAGAGGTGAGAGTAGTTTTTAAGTCTTGACGGTTATATTAAAGAATAATAATACCGGTAATAAAAATAATAATAAGAATTTAATAAAAATAATTAGCTCCCATTGTTTTCTCATATGTTTTTAAAAGATTACATCTTTGGGCTATAGACCAACAAAAGCTTCTACAGACAGTTGTGCTCGAAAATTTACACACCCTTCCATTAAAGAGAGAAAAAAAATCAGCTGCCAGTAAAATAAATGGAAATTGACAAAAGTAATACTAGATAAAAATAATAAAAAGGGAAGTCATAACATTAATTTAGAATTTATGCATTTACATACATACATACATGTATATATTGATAAATAAAAGCAGTAAACAACCCTGGTGGAGCTCCTGAACTAAAACTTTGTTGGGCCCCACTGGGATGCTCTTTGTATGGCTTACAACTACGCATTTATTAAAATTTGCAAAAATAAAAAGATTTCAAGCATTTTAATGATTTATTTTCTCAGATGATTATTCAAATTAAATTAATTTAACCAACTAACATATTGAAATAATTTTAAGCCTTCTAAAAGCATTTATTTCCACCCAGTTGCACCCATATTCACACCAAGTTTTCCATGATATAAGGATTAATTTACTAAAGTAACCAGATGTTTCATTCCAAATTACCTTTCAATGAAAAGCTTACATTAAATTCAAACTCATTTAAAATCTTAAACTGTCGCTCAAATACAGTTTGAACAAGATGCCAAAATGAAAACCAATAACTGAAACCTAACAAACATGACGACAGCAGGCCTGTATACTAAAAGTAACGTAACTCTGATCTCTGCCTTTAAATTCTGTCATCATGATCATGGTCACTAAACAGGTTTGAAATGGAGGCAACTGAACCTTCGCTCAGTTTTGACTCCTGTCCCAGATTCTTGGTCAATTCTGATGGCTCACACCAGCTCCGGTATTATTGTTATTTATCAAATTATCTGTGTAAACAAACCTCATCTTCACTTGACAAGACAGCTGATGCGGACGTTGCAGAAGCTATTTTGTACCAGGACAGCCTCCATATTGTTGGGGGAGCGATTCATGTTGCTGCAGTCTGATCATTAGATTAGAAAATCACCTACTGCAGCTTTAAATAGTTTAAAGAGTTAAATCCAGTAAATAAACAAAAGGGTTAGGATGAAGGATTAAGGTGCTTTTAAACAGTGGTGTGAGGTGACCAAGGAAGGTTTTATCAATACTGATCAATTATTGATTTGTCCAGATAAGAGACAATAAAAACATAAAGATTATAAAACGTTTAATTTAGTGGCTGAGCCCCAAAGTGAAACATGTTACACAATGAGAGGAGTTTTTCATACCTCTAGTTTGTTTAGTTTAGTCCAGAAGTTGAGTTTTACTTGTTACTTTGGTCTATTTGGTTTAGATTACTTTGAAACAGAGAAATTTCCAAGCAAACAGGAATTTCTCACTGAAAACCCACTAAAGCTTTACTCCTGTTGATGGCTCAGATGTTTCCAGAAAAGCAAAACCAAATGTTAGAAAACACAGAGACCCCAATAATATTGTTAGCGAGTTTCGGGCTTTAATTTTAGGTGAAATTATCTGAGCAGTAGATTAATAACCTGCTTGCTGAAACATTTTAACATTTTTACTGTTCTGAGTCTTATTTAGGAGATGAGAAATATAATAATCAGCCCCAAAAATCAGTGATGAAATGGACCTCATTGTTCGTCCAGCTGAGCACTCCATTTAATTTTGGCTTCTAAAGTTTTACTCCATTTCCCACAATGCAGCACACATCTGGGAAGAAGTTTCACTCAAGCTTGCAGGGTAGACCAGGTAGTTGTGTCTAACAGAGATCAGATCAGGAGGTCTAGATGCAGTTCTTCTGGTCTACGCTCTAGTGTATTTATCACTGAGTTCACATCCATACGAAGCACATCAATGAGGAAACTGACCAGAGGTCATTAAAAAGAAAACATCTAAACATCTCAGGTGTGAAAATAACCAATGTCTGACCCCAAACCATGAAAGGACTCAACATTACCCACATAAACCTCTTTGGATTCAGTTTTATCCTCCATTTATAATCAAATTTAGACTTGTTTTGTCTTTTTCAGGGAGGATTGTCCAGTCTGGTCAGAAGTCGTCTTCCTGGTGTATGACAACAGTGAAATATACTGTAACTGTCCTACATGGAGAACCTGAGACCACCTGAGACCATCTTTCTGCAAGGCAACACTGCTACGAACTGCACCGTTGTGCAGCTCCAACACAGAAAAAGACTCTTGGTGAAAATTCTTAATTAAAAAAAAAAATTGTGTAAAAATGTCTATATTTTTCAAAACCCTAGTAAAATTCAGAGGTATTTAGCTTAAAGATAAATGTTTATCATTGTCTGGAATAAGTTTTAAACATTAATTGCAAAAAAAAAAAATGAAGGTCTGTTAAAGCTTAGACTGAGCAGAGCCACTGAAATGGAATCATCATTAGGAGTATTATGTAGAACAACTGGACAATTTCCATAATATTCTTATATCACTATATTCTGTAAAATCATCACAGAAGTTCTAAAGGAGTTCCTAGAAAATAACTTCTTTATCAACTTATTGAACTCATTGAGCTTATTTAAAGGGGTAATAGAATGATTTTATATGGTATTTGGTTCTGGTCCTTAGGGTCTCTGAATAGGGTGTGTAACATTGGTTGGACTGAAAATGGCATATTTGCTGTTCTATGAGCCCTAATGCAAGCCTGGTTAAAAGCCCTAGAATGAAACGACAGGTTTTCTTCCTTTTATGGTATGCTCATTAATATTTAGATGAGCTGTGCGCTGATTGGTTGGTTTACAACGAGCGAATCTGCTGAGTAAAGACGCATCATAGCAACAAGCA